TTTTTATTAATAAAAAAAAACTCAATTCTTGGAGGTATTTTCAAATCGGTCCGGTTCACGTAAATCTTAATATTTTTCCGAAATATTTTGTTGGACGTCTTAAAATATAATAGATTTTATAATACCAATGGAAAAACAGTACCGATTTTTTTTTTTGGTATGGGGAGTGATGCAGTCTAATGTACATGTCTGTATTGTGTTCATAAGAACTCGTTTAATTATTCTTTGTACTTTAAAGTTCTTTATAGATACTTTAAACAGAGTTTACTACTTTATTTTATGGTACAATATATCGATTCAGTATCATGCGAAACGAATTCGTATCAGTCGCCATTCACTATGCATTTTATGCTATTTACACGAAGATTAATTACTCAAGATTTATGACAAAATTTAAAAGCAAAAAATCGTGTAATTTAACTAAAACTAGTATTTTTATTTTTCGTAACTATGTACATTCTCTTTAAATATCTGAATTTGCAAGAATACAAGTTACGGTAACGTCGAAATGTATTCAATGGATTTAAAATGCAACGAATTGTCTTTCGTTATACTCAAAATTATAAAAGCTTTTCCCTTGGAAAACTAATTGAAGACTGGCCAAGTGGTTCTCTGGCCGGTAGCCGACGATTGACCTCCAACAATGCCATTACAGTTCAACAAGCTTCTTTTGAGCGTTCTAAATACGAGGCAACTTCCATCTGCCCTTTAAAAGGCGAACCAAAAAATAAAAAAATAAAAAATATTTTAAAAACAATTTTTTACTCGCCTATACATACTTGTATAACTGGAATCTTGTAAATATTTTAAATTTATGCTTATTCATGCGCACACACAAAATGCACAAGAATAGCGCAGTAGACAAGGCAAGACAAGACAAAGGATTGTCGAAGTAAGAACCACTTTTTACTTTCGCCTTTTTGCTGTTGCATTATCGACATTTTTTACGACACAATTACTGCAGCTTAAGAAGATGGGAAGCAGAAGAGGTAACTAGAATTCAGCAATGCGGAAGCAGTCTGCATTTCAGGTTTTTGGATTACTATCTTTGGGACAGAAAAACCGATTTGTTGGTGTCGTTGTAGGATTTCAGTATGCACAAAAAATTGATAATGCAATTACAATGAAAACCATCAAAAAAAAATGGTGTAAAATTAAGCGTGAATGTATGTACAAACATATATTCTTTGGAAATTACAAGGAACGCATTTTGCAGAATTTTCAGTTTCTTATCGGCAATCTTGAAAGGAAGCTGCGCGCAATTAACTTCGCTTATTTGTGGACATATATGTATGTATGGTGCATATGTAACTTTTGAAATGCCTCTTAAATGCAACAGAGAATGAATGAAAGATTAATGATGAAGTATCTTAACAGCCTAAATGATTAAGTATTTTAACAACCTACACCAATGCGTATTTTTTTGTGAAGGTCAATTTGAGTGCCAAGTTAACGTATGTATATACTATATAAAGTTTCGGTTAAGAAGTTTTAAAGATACCAACACACCATATGGTTGTACATATACTTCTCACAAATTCCAGTCGGATTTATATATGTACATATGTAACCGCAACGATCCAGATTTATAAATGGCCAAGGCAACATTTTGTATGCTGTTACAACAACAACTTCGCATGAGTGGAAAATGTGACAATCACTTTTAGTTTTTTAGTTAGGTAAGGCTGGATTTGGCAGGCTTCTCTTGCCAAAAGTCGATAATCACAGCGGTTCAGACAGGCAGATTTCTCCAAAAACCTATCCATTTATGTCTTTAATCAAGACAGCCTTTCCAGTGAGACGGTGCCTAAGCTGTAAGCTGTACCTAAAGCTGTACCTAAATCTCCGGTACAGTACCGAAACTTTTGGTTTTGTACCGTGTACCGAAACGAAGGTTTGGGTACAAGCAAATGTACCGGAACATACAATGGTATGTACATTTTTAGAAAAAAAATCAATCAGCTGTTTGACTTGACTTTCAAGTTGCTACATGACTTGAAAGTAAAAATTGATATCAAGTCGACGTTCAAGTTGTAAATGTGCGTGTGTGTTAGTAAAAAAGTGTGAGTGTATTGCAACTTGAAACCAAGATCTTGATCGTGTAACGTCCAAGTTATTTCTTTATTTTATCGACAATATCGATATTTTCCCCATCACTAGCTCAAATAAGAAAGCGAAAAATGTCAAGAAAGTGTGGAGTGAATGTTTTCAATGAAAACTTAAAAGTTAAATATTTGTTTATAAAAAAAAAAACAATAAGTCATAGTGATGTGCGATGCAATGTGTGCACAAAGGACTTTAATATTGCTCACGGTGGCAAATCAGATATTGAATCACATATAAAGTCAATACATCACCAAAATGCATTACAAATTCAAATATTTCTATACGAACTATTCAAACCTCAAAATGAATCCAATTTAACTGATACAATTTTTCTGTGAAATTACATCGAAGTGATTTTGAAAAAATCTTAAGAAAATTCATAACTTTACTCGGAATTGCACATTCTTTTCGAAGCAATGACTGAAAGAGACTATTTTGTTTTGAAATTTTAGAAAAAATGAAATTTTAGAAAAATAATAAAAATTTGTGTTAACTTCAGACTTATTCCAACAACTTTCAACACATTTACAATGTGCTCACAAAACTTTTTTAATCTTTAAATAGTACAAATATTCCTCCTTCCAAAGACTATAAAACTTAAAGTGCGGTAAAAATTAACAGCTGAAAATTTTTTAGTGCGAAAAGTCATGTAAAAATGGTTTTTTAAGAATAAGTCGATAATTTGAGGGTGTTACAAAAATTGTATATGCAGTTTCGTGAATTACTTGACCAGCCTTACGACGTGTACCAGGTCACTTAAAAAGTTCACGATCAGTGTAACACCTTGTGATTAAACATAAGTGGCAAACAATATCACTTCTAAATGGGGGGCTATAGATTTGGCCAATACTGTATAACTTGCTTCAAATTAGATTTGTAATGGATTTTATAACATTTACGTAATAAATAAAATAGATCTCAGAATGAACGAAATTAATTTTACTGTACCGGATTTTTCAAAAGGAAAGGTGTATAGGGCCTCGAAGAAATTATTCCCCAAATTGTGAAGGACTTTCTTTCTAAGTGTGAAACATGCGAAAAGGAAGTAGACAAACTTCAAAAACTAAATGATGCGGTTCTATTAAAAAACTTTGAATGCTGATTTTTTTTTTAATATTTCTTTTAAATAAAAACAGTGGCTATTTTTGAAAAATGTTACCAAATTATCTTAATTTCATTTGAAAACCTGAAAGTTCTGAATATCTTAATTCATCTGCTGAAAAGTGCCGAAAATAAATTGTTAACAGCCTTTTTTGTTTTCTCCCTTTATTAGTTCTCCCCTCCAAATGGCAAAATAGTTCACTAATGCACGGTGGTCTTGAAACCAGTCTTAAGATTTATAAAAGTGTGCCTAAAATCGGTTTCTTAGCCTTTTTCTACATCATTTGTAGGTTAAACAAATAAGCCAAGGGGATTTTCTAAAATATTTCTCGCGATTCGTCAGCAAACTCGAGACACTAATTTCTAAGTTGCTGAGAAAAACAGTCGATGTGTGTGCTTGCAAGTATGAATGTAAATAAAAACAAGTTATTTCCAACTAGATGATACCTTTCGACAGCATCTCAAGTGAGACACATTATGAGTGCGCTGTTGAAGTGAATCGTACTATTGGTTATCATATTTTTTTTCGTTTGTTTATTTTTTCGCACTCACCTTACTTAGAACAATCGTCACATCGTCGCTCTTCAGACGCGCAATCATAATCGATGCAATTGAGAGAATATAATCACCAGCCATTGTAACCTGTAAAATCACAAACAAAAATAACGAATCAGAAAATTTAAATTATTCTTTTTTTTTTTCATATACATTTACTCATTCATAATCGACGAGTGATGGATGCTATTGAAAATCTGAAGTACTTTACATTTAGCACGACTTGAATAACTTCCGTAAATAAATTTACTAGTCATCACAGTAAACCGTAAATCAATTACTGTATATTTTAAATAAAGCGGTAGGAAAGTGTAAAGTACTCTGGTCTAGAAGCACCCTTTTTACCATAACAACAACTTAAAATACCTTATTCGTTTCATTTTTTTTTTTCAAGTACCAAATACATATGTACATATGTACGTAAGTATGTGTATGCAGCAAAACAATTTTGTAGTAAAAATTGTGATTTCTGGAAACTATTTACTTAGCAGGCTAGTAGGCAGGTCAGCGGGTAGTGAAGACACCAGTCATCGGTGTTACTGCGAATACTCATACATATACGCATACATACTGTTTATTTACTTTAATGCAATAAGGATTTTATCTGACCGACTTTGAAGTTCTTTAAACCAAATGCATTTTAAATTAGTTGAAA